ATAACTACGAACACATTCACGAAAATATTTAGCATCTTCACAATTACCAGTAAATAGTTCTACTAATGTTAATGGCATTTTTTTTCCTCAAGCTTTTATCTTTCCAGATGAACAACGAAAACCAGTAGATTCTGCATAAATACATCGTGCACCACAAAATTTACAATTTGGCACATTTGGTAATATGTCAAGACTACTTGCTATTTCATGCAATCGGTCAACAATGTTCAGTTTATCAACATTTGATTTTTCTGCAGCCCTTCGCATTCTACGATTACAATTGTTTTGGTTCTGATAGTCATCACCGGTATCATATTTCCTTCTATGAAGTACAGTACCCTTAGGCGACATTTTTTTCTTTGAATGATTTAGGTAATATTACTCGTCTACCAATGTCAGAACCAATATGGTATGCTTGTGAAATACCATCCCAAAGACCACAGTATATATCATTTCTAAAACGATTTTGCATTACTTCACTCCTGAAAATGTCTAGCCTTTGTGTTTCAATTTTAATATACATATCTATCACGTATTGTTGCAATAATCTACCTATTTACAGCAGAAATGATTTATCATTTTGTCTAACATGAAACTTGTAACAGAAATATTCACGACATAACACAATATCTCTTTTTTTTCCTTTTTGCACCTACATCGCAGTAGATTTATTTTCAGACTAAAGGGTTTAAACAAAATTTTAAACCAAAGATATGAAAATTATTGAATTTTACAAATAAAGTCACATAAATATTTTAGTTACCTTTCATTTCAGCTTCTAGAAAATCTTCCACGTTTGTGTAGTTTTCAATGTGATGTATGGATTCACCAGCACAATTCCGTGAAGTACCTATATTTTCATCCACCATATTGATTTTTTTAATAGATCGATGCCAACCAGGGTGACCATCAGGAAATATGAGAGGGTATTGCAATGGGTCGTAACATCCAAAGTATTGCTTAATAATTTGAGGTTTCTCATCCTTTTCTTTACTCTTTGGGTAAACTTGAATGTGTTGTCCTATAATTCTTCATTTTCATTGGATTCTAGCCATATTCCAGCAACTTGAGATACGAAAGGTTTATTGTAAACATTATTGTTAAATGTGGGGTTTGCATGTAAGACAATTTTCCATTCTGGCAAATTTTCAACATTGTTTAGGTTTCGAAAAAAATAGCGCATAAGGGTTCTGTCTTAAAATTTTCACAACATTTTCCCTAAATTTTTCAGAACTTATAGCTATACGATTTGACATCTCATGTTCTGTATCATAAAAATACAATTGTAGATTTTTGGATTTTTCACCAATTGATGTGATTAAAGGATCTATAAAATGGTAAAGTTGACCTTGAATACAAAATGTATAAACACTTTTTTATTCCTTTGTACCAATGATTTATCAGAATGAACACCGAATGATGTGAATACAAACATATTGTTATAACTATGAACACATTCACGAAAATGTTTAGCATCTTCACAATTACCAGTAAATAGTTCAGCTATTTCTAATGGCATTTTTGTTTCCTCAAGCTTTACCTTTCCAGATGAACAACAAAAACCAGGAGATTATGCATAAATACGCCGTGTACCACAAAATTTACAATTCAGCACATTTGGTATATGTCAGGACTACTTGCTATTTCATGCAATGGATCAACAATGTTCAGATTATTAACATTTGATTTTTCTGCAGCCCTTCGCATCCCATGATTACAATTTTTTTGGTTCTGATAGTCATCATGGGTATCATATTTCATTTTATGAAGTAAAGTACCATTAGGCAGCATTTTTTTCTTTAGGAGAACGATACTTGTACCCTTGGGCGGCATTATTCCAAAGTTCGAAAATAATTCTATAAACAACCAGTTAAAACAAAGGATATAAACCAATCCAACAATAACTTTAACAATGAAGCACTTAGTGAAAAAAGGGAAAAACAAACCAGCTACACAAATAAAATACAGACCTGCACTAAATTTGTTTTTTCAGATTAACTCGATAGAGCGTACCTGTGATGCTGCAAGTGACAGGAAGCAAGAAAATTTGTTCTCTCTTTTCAAACAACAAAAAAGCCAAGCAATCCCAAATAGTATCAGCAAAAACTATGCCTGTAGGAGTAAATTTTCTGTTATATGGCTATGAAAGTGAACTCATGTGGCTATTCAGATACAAAAGCACACACCTTGAAAGAATGCATGTTGTAGAAGTTGATTTACCTAACTATAAAATTGACAACTAAATAAACATTCACACTACGGAACCTGATTCAACAAATAAGGCCTCATAAACCGAAATGGGTTTTCTAGATTTGGATAAATCTCAATGTTAATAAGTATTAAATGCGAGATGTGCCGACATGTTTCTCAAGTCAGGAAATCTAACGCGACATACCAAGACAGGGGGGAAACTCAAGAAAACAACAAAAAGGTAAACGTCTGGGAAAGCAATTTGTATGCCAAGAAAATTTGAGAAATTATTACTTTTTAATGATCAAGCTAAGATATGCATGCCATTCTTCTTAAGAATTTTGAGAGCTAACCAATTCAATAAGTTTAACGAATCAAGAAAATAAAAAAATTTTTAAGTAATCAAATTTAATCTAACACGTATCAAGTTACAAACATGCATCAAACTCAAAGGTTTTTCAGTTGCTAACATAACTTTTCAACTATAAACTTCATCGAATACTTCAATGGCCAGAAATTAAAATTCCATAATTCTATGTTACTGGCAAAAGATAGGAGAGTTCCGGCAAAGTAAATAAAGAAGAAACAGACCATATTCAGAGAGAGACAACTCACAGTGTAAGACGAACTACAACCAAATTGAATTTCTACAAAGGATTTTGCCTTTTATTTTTCTTATTTATTATCCAAAAAGGTGAAAAGTGCGAAGCTTGTACTAAAGCAAACTAATCTTTAATCGAACTAAACTTCAAGTTTGGTTTGCCATATTCAGACCATTGTTTAACTCATCCACCTACAACCTTATTTTTCTATGAACTCGTCCAAATCATGCACACTCAAAATTGAATTTGGTGATGCTCATCTCCACTTGGTTTTTCTAGTATAATTTCAGCAATAAAAAGGCCCTGCGAAAGCCTGAATTAAACACCTAATATGCATATCCAATACATAAATAGAAGATGTAACGCTCTAAAAGATCCAAACTCTAGGAATTCGTTGTCGTTGAAACTTTATCAAATCAATGAATCAAGAGAATTTTAACTTGAATAAATCAAAGAGAGAAAAATTGATCTGATTTCTTTTCGGAATGAAACTGTTGTCTGTTGCCGTTCTTTTTTCAAAGAACCGTTTTTTTAATGCGAATGAGAAGCTGTAAACCTAAACGTTTTTTGGGTTTTTTTTTTTGACAAACGAAGTGCAAATCTAGCAAACAACCTAGTACAAATCTCGAAAACAAACGAAGAGGAAATTTCTCCACCGTCAACAGCACCGGATTACAGATCTAGGATGGAAGATAATGGAGAAAAGAGGGATAAGGAAGGTTAGAAATTCTGCTCAAGAATCAAAACAAACTGGTAAGCAAATTTGGTTTTTCTCAAAATTTCTTACTTTGCAGCAGATTTTAGAACTTGGAAAAGAGAGGAGGATTTTATCAAACGACAAAAGTTTCAAGAAGAAATGGATGAAAGAGAAGGCGAGAGAAGAGGAAAAAAAGCTGAGCACAAAGGGGGAAAAAAAGCTAATTATCGGGAGAAAATAAAGCTGGTAACCAACGACAAACAAAGAGGTAAAATAACGACCGTCTAACGAGAAGAAAAGGTACCACAAACCGTAGATCCCCCTTTAGTATATACTTAGATCATGTTCTGATATTCTAAATAAAAAAACTACATTAATTTTTTAATTTCTGGAAAAATAATATTTTATTATTTTTTATTCTAAGTTATTTTTATTAATTAAGTTTTTTTCTTAATTTAAAGGGATCATTAGTGGTTCCCCACTTGTCCCTGACGTGACTCGAACCCGTGATCTATTAGAAACAGGGGAGGCGTCTTACCAACTAGACTGCACCTCATCGTCAAATTAATTAAGTATTATTTTAACATTTATATTATAACTTTATTCGATACAGCAAAACCTCCATAATTACAATCAAATATTAATAATCTCTATTAAATAGTAAATATTTTACTCTACAATTGAGATAAGTAAAAAAATGTAAAAAATCAAGATGATTTTTTTTTAGAATTATGCTTTGTAATATAATTCCCTACAATTTCATAAATTAAAAAATTCTAAAATAAAAATTATGTTAGAATATAATCTGAAATTTTAATTTATTTATTTCATATTAGAGATTGTCTTAAAAGTAATATTTTTACTTTATCCCAAGCACCACCAAATTAAAAATAATATAAAATTTGTGTATAGAAGGAACAATTTTTTAATTATTTTTTCATTTTAGTTTAAAATTAATTTTTAAAAATTTTGATTAATTTAATATTTATTTTATTCTTGACCATTTTATGAATATAATTATTTTAATATTCATATTACTATTTTATTCAATATAAAAAATATAAATAATTTTATTTCGAAAATACCGCTATTGACTTGAACCAAAATATGATCAAACTATTAGAATAATGTTAAACGACCAAAAAAGTTACAAATCGTTTAATATAAAGGACCAAAATATATATTTGGCGTAATATAAAGGACTACTTTCAAATTGTAGTCTTCAATAGTAGTACTCTAGAAATAAAAAGTTTGTTTTTATGAGGGGGAAAACAAGTTTGTTACACAAGTTTGTTAATTTGAAAAATTATTGGGTATCCTGGTTTTTAGTGCAGCAAGTATTAGCACCCCAGATGATATAATTTCTTTAGAATTTATCTCTCCTCCCAAATTTACTACTTTACCCCTATTATTCTATCTGATTGCACAATCTTATATGGTACAACCGCTGTAAAATAAATTTCTCTATTAATTTGGGCAGTAACTATTTTTCTCTTTGTATCTTCAGGTGAAAGAAGTAGTGGTGGAATAAACAAGTTGAAAGAAATGAAAGAAACTGCTATACCCTAACCACCACCAACTTCATTTCTTCCAATTTCTTCATTGATTCTGGAGTTTCTAGGCCTTTGCCAAGAATCAAACGAATCAGATTGAGAAATTTCAATTCATCCATTTCTTTGAAGCTTTATGATTAGACACCGATAGGAAGAGAGGAATGCCGACTCCAGCATCTGCGTCAGCGGCTCCGGCGTCGTGGACGTCGGCGTCATACCAAAGCCGTACTGTGGCCGAGGAACTGATTGGGCGGTTGAGCTCCAATTCCGTTTCTTGTGAGGCAAAACTCAAAGCTTTGAGAGACCTGAAGAATCAGATCATCGGGAACCGGACAAAGAAGCTTTCGTTTCTCAAGCTTGGTGCCGTTCCTTGCGTCGTCTCAATTTTGTCCTCCGCTACGACTGCTGCCGTAGCTGCTGGTGGAAATGATGGTTTGGAATCTACTATAATTCAGTCCGCGGCGGTGATTGGGAGCTTTGCATGTGGTTTTGATGCGGGAGTTGAGGCTGTTTTACAGGCCGGAGCTCTTCAGATTTTGTTGAGTTTGATTTCTTACCCTAATGAGAAGGTGATAGTTCAATTTCATTTTGTTTGAATTCATTGTTGATTGGAAGGTTTGACGCTCAATATACCTGAATTTTGACAATTCCTCCGGACCGTTCCTTTCAAAATGTGTTGCTACTTGATTGTCTGTCAAATGCGGATTAAAAAATTTTGAAGTACACTCCTTTGAATCTAGTTATCAATAGATTGTGATTACGTCCTCTTGTCTTCTGTTAATGATAAAAAAAATGCTTGGCAAATTTCTGGTGTGAGCACGAGCAGAGGTTTTAGGGAGTTTTTTATTTTATGGTCTTTGGATGTGGGTTTCTAGTGAGATTGTTTTGAGGTGGATAAACTGTTTAGATTACTGATGTGTTGAGGTTAAATTGAAGTTAAAGACTGAATGATCCCTGATTGCTGAATGTTGATCTGTTTGTCTTTTTCCATATTCAAAGCTTTAGGTTTGGCTGAGTTTTGAATGACATTTGAAAAGTGAGATAAGAGAATGAGCATGATATGGGAGTGGGAGATTTGCATGTGCCTTTTATAGCATATTTCTATCCATGAATTTGACTAAATCAAGAGGATAGGCATGTTGCCCTATATTCCGGACCTTGAACAATATTAGTTCTGGTTGAAGTTTCTTGGATTTAGTGTATTCTAGCATTTGACATTTCTAGATGATGTCCATGATATCCATTTGGGCCATTTGCAGCCCTTGAGTTATATCCTCTTAAGTTATGGTTAGAGTTTGTTGGAATATGAGTCTAACCACTCTTACTTGGCTGCTTTAGATTGCAGAGGTTGTTCTAGTCTTTGTGAGAACTGATGAAAAGGAAAAAAGTTGATTGTAATATCTGATTCTTCTTTGCCATACAAACTACTACAGTCATTACAATGTTGACTTATGATCTTCGAAGGTTTCTGCACGTGTCTCTTGACTTTCTTTGTACTTGACACATATGAAAACAAAGGTGACTATCGTGTGTATTCATGCCTCTGGGAACGAATACCATGCTAACATACAACCTATTTATCCTTGCCATAGCATAGGAATTTCCTTTTTCATGTTCATTTTGCTTTACAAAAGTTTCGTGCTGAACAAAATGCATGCATCTTGTGATGTTCCATAGACAGTTCATTGTTGTTTGGACGAGGATTTTGTCTTTTTTTGGGACAAAGATATGCAGTGAGATTGATGTGAATAACGTCATGATGCTATGACCCTTTGATTTTCTATCATAATCTTAGGTATGGCTTCTATTTTCTCTATTCCTTGCTTTTGACGAAGTTGGTTTAAAATGGATGAAAGTTGAGACATATTTTTGCTCGGTAGCATGTTGTATCAGTTTCCCTTTTGGTCAAAGTTCACTTCTCTGTGTTCCTGTTTTTTAATTGTTAATTGATTAATCTTGTAAACTGAGGTTGTTGATTGTATTTCTTGACTGCAAAGATATTGTACTATTGTGAATTGTGATTTTTGTGTAACTTTGTATGCTTGATATATAGGTTGTGGATGCTGTTGCTCGTTCTCTTAAATTGATATATCAGTCAAAGTTGGGTCCGAAGTATGATTGTCTAAAAAGTATTGAGTTTCTCCTTTCACTATTAAACAGTGAGAATGAGAATGTTTCTGGACTTGGTGCTAGCATTATTGCACATTCCTGCCAGTCAAGTATGGAGCAGAATGCATTAGGTGATGCTGGAGTCATATCGAAGCTCATTAATCTTCTAGGGGGCTCACCAATCCAGAAAGATTCTAGTTTAGAATCTCTGGCAGCCATTTTAAAGGAAAATTCAGAAGTCATTTTAAAGTTTGTGGGACCTGAAAATGGACCAGCACTGAATGTTGTTACTGAATTGACAAAGGACAAACATCCCAGAACAAGGTTGCTTGCTTGCTCGTGTTTGATTGTAATAAGAAATGCTTTGCCTTCCTATCTTCAAGATGTTCGAATCAAGACAAAGTTGGTTCTAGTTTTGCTTGAACTTCTTGACGTTCCTGGTCAAGTTGGGGATGAAAGTCCGTTTGTTTTGTCTAGTTTAATTGTGGGAAAGGAGGACATGCAGAAGTTAGCATTTCAAGAACATGCTATTGATAAACTTTGCAGCCACTTAGAAAAAGGTTCACTACAACCGAAGCACATAGAAGGGATATTCTTGGCATTGGCTGATATGTGCTCACAGTTGGAATCTTGCCGTACCAGGCTTCTTTCTTTAAAGGTCAGCTAAGCTCTTAGTTTAAGTTGCATATGTCTGCAAATCTGCTCACTATGCTTTTCTCTCTCTCTTTCTCTCTCTCTCTCTGTTTTTATTTTTATTTTTATTTTTATTTTTTTTTCCATGTTACTCTAATTGGTTTGGTTTGTTCTGTTCATCAATTAACCATTACAAACATGTCATTCAAGTAGGATATGTTAGTACTTTCGAAAAGCTTTCTATATTTAATTCCTATTTGCTTTGAGTTTGTTCAATTCATTAATTAACTCCTTCAAAAGCCAAGGGATCATCCTGGATGTAATCATTTGGTATTGTTATCAATTGAGCTAATATCATTATATTAATGGCTGAGTGAGTAGCTTTCAATCTGTCCATTCAAGGAAGATGAGTATTTATTCCAGAACTTGTCTCCCCACTTAGCTTCTCAGAAATCTGTGGTTGTCAACATGTGACGTGTATGTGAATTTTATTTGCAAATGCTATGAATTTGTCAAAGGTTGCAGAAAAACAGCCGTTAAGCTTTTCTGCTTTTTATGTCTTATGAACAGTCAGCCTGATAAATACAAATTTATTGTTGTGTTCTTGATATATTTCTTTTGCGTGTTTTCTGTTGATCATTTTGTATGTTTTCTTGAAAGTGTTCTATTTGAATTTCTCGTAAGGTCGGCTATTTCGTTAAGAACCAGGGTTCATTGTTATTCTGATTAATTGAGAGTTTAGATTCAAGTATTTTGATTTGGTTGACATTAATATGGTGGATTTTGATTTACGAGCTACTCATTTATCAAAGTTTGTCAATAAATTTGAATTCACTAGAGTTGTTTTCATTGTATTCTTCATCATGCAATTCAATCAATGCAAATTAACTTATTTCCTTTTTTGATTATGGCGTTGTAGTTAGCATAGTTACAATCCTTTGAAGTTCGGAATATCATAAACGAATTCTCAGGTTTTTTTTACAGCTTGTAATTTGAAAGATAAAATGATCTATTAGATTTTCCTTCCAAGTTTAACCTTAGCTTGGTTCCATTATATTTTTTGTTTGATTTTCTTTGTATGTTACATATGGCCTTGAATTGGTGAAGTGATTGTGGATGTCCACTTGAAGATTTTGTAATCAACGGAATCAGAAACTATAGAACTCTTATGTTTGTTGCTACAATGATTACTGGATCTGTGAGTGTACTTTAATGCCCACTGTGTAACTTATTATTTATAATGTTTACTTATTTCTTCTCCATGTTGCAAACGAGGTGTAATCATTTCTGTGTGAGAAGGTAGAACATTTGTGAGCTGTTTTCTGTTTCAGCTTCTGTCTTATGTCAGTTTAGACAGGAGATAAACCTACTGTCTAAAGTTCCATGTGGGATGTGAGGTTAGATAAAGATGGCTGCAAGTAGATGTGCAGGTTGTTACCTCTCTTGTGTTAGTATTATCTAAAGAGTCATGATTGGGGGAGAGAGTCCTTTTTATGCGTACGCTTAAGAACTTATACGTATTCTGATAATGCAAGCAAGCATCAATTTACTTCTCGATACTCTTCGGTTGTTGAAATAGAAATTTTTTTCAGTTGTTGACCTAAAAGATTACACTCTCGGACTGATTTACTTCTCCCAGACTTAAAAACAAGCATACACTAGATTGTTTGATGTATAAAATTTGAAGGTATAGTCATGGGACAAAACACAGTTGACCACCAAGTGGAATGTTGGGTTCTCATTGCTTAGTATAGACAGAAACTTTATGTAGGATTTAAACTTGTGGAAATTTATGTACATTTTTGTCAAAATGCCTTTTTGTTATAATCTTTTATGGTTCCCAGGGCCTCAAATGATATGGCTATTTGTAATGCAGGCTTTGAAATTTGTCACCGATTCCATGAATCATGATTGTGCTGAAGTGCGTGCTGCGGCCTGCATTTGTTTAGGAAATGTTTCCCGGTCAGTCGAGGTGCGTGATGCTTGATTTTGAATAATATGAGAAACAACCTGAACTTTATGTTTATTTTGATGCTAATTGAAGTTTATGCTAATTGAAGTTTCTTTCAGAATCTTAGTGCAGGTACATTTGCTAATGAAGCTGTCATCAATCCTTTAGTTCAACTTTTGAGTGACACCTCAACTTCTGTTCAGGTACTTAATTCGTTTTGGGAGTGAGTTTGTTTCTATATCTGCCCCATTTATGTGAGGAACTTAAGTTTTCCTCATGTTTTCATGGGGATGCATGTTTTTGTGTTGAGTAAAAATGCGAGCACCACGTATACAGCTTCATTGATGTTCGAAAAGTTTGTAAGAGGCCTACCAGATTGAGCTACAATATTTTGCTTTAATGTGGTGAATAGTAGGGCTAAACTTTTTCATTAATTAGAACCCTAAAAGGGCAATGCTGTCCTTCCTGGCTTTTTCTGCCGAATTTATTGTTTACGGGATACCTTTTGTTTTCAGGTTGCCTCCATTAAAGCTATCAGCAACATTGTGCTTGATTTTACCTTGCAAAAGTCGACAGTTATCAAATGCGGAGCTTTAAAACAGCTTGTTGAGCTATCAAAGTCGATGGATTCAACTATACGGGCAAATGCCGTCTGTGCTTTGAGGAACTTGACGTTCCTTGTCAGTGATAGGTGTAAAGAAGAACTGCTTTTGGAACTAACTCAATCAACTTTATTAAGCCTAGTTTCTGGTAATTATATTACTATTCATTTTTAGGGATGGTTTGTCTTCGTTGAATAAGTTCATCAAGTATCTTTTCCTTTCCTAGCAGATCCTGAGCCTTCTGTTCAAGAGCAAGCATTGGCCCTTATTCGTAATCTTGTTGATGGTTCCATAGATAGCATTGAACATGTCTTTGCTGAGGACAGTGTGATATTGCATGCAGTTATTAGGCAGATGCAAAATGCTTCAAAAGTTGAAGTTTTAATACAGGTGTTGTCTCTTAACTGTCGAAGTTATCATTGCTCTTTGGTAATGTTAATAAATCCTCTTTTGTAGAGCATGGAGAAGGAATTCTTAACATTGACGTGTTAAAAGATTATTTCTATCTTAGCAATTTCATTGTTTTTTCTCAATTGAATATCGTTTTATGTTCTCAAATCTCAATGGTCAAAACTATATTGTTGCAAACAACATAGATCAAGGAGTGACTTTCTATTGGGGCTAAGATTATTTCTTACTGGATGTATTTGCCAAAGTCGTAGACCCTCTTGGTGCGAAACAAATTGATTTTTTTTTTTAAGTTACTAAATAGATTTTCTAATATGTTGGTCTTTCTTTCCAATGTCCCGTTTATTCATGCTTTGTCACTGTTCCATTGTATGACTTAGTTTTTTTCTTACTAGCAGTGAAATTTTGTTACTCTATTCTTGTATGAACGCATGAAGACATCTTTTTATCCATTGATTGGACATTCTTTTATTGGTCATGGTTATTTGAAATAGATTTCTAATTGATGTAATACCAACAGTAGATAAATTCTTTTAATGGTCATAAGGGCCAACCACTAACTGTTATCCGCTATTTTAGAGCATTTATCTTTAACCTGGGAAGCTTGAATTTAGAACATTAATACTGTAAAGCTTTTGTTTTGCTCGAAATGGGTGTTAATTGGAGGTTAAAGTAAAACCCTCGTGAAGCATTAATGGATGGAGGAGGAACAATAATGGACAACAAGCACCCAACAACACCCAACCCCCCACACCCACCCCAACAAACCCCCCACCCCTCAAAAAAAAAAAACCCAATTTGTATAAACACATGCACTACCATATGTCACACCGAATTTTTTCAAAACCATCACCTCCAGCTGTGTCTAACCATCTAATATGACATGACATTAAATTGGTTGTAAAAGTTCTTCTATCCATCTTTCTATTCGGTTTTATATGATATCATTTTCATCTGTTATCAATTTACTACTGTATTCCATCCTGACTCCAGCGCTTCTAATGATTTGGTTCTTTGGAAGCATTAGTCCTTGCCTCATTTATTACTTTCCAAATTAACTGTTTGCGATTTTAGATAATTTAATTCTTCCTGGTCTTCTCCAATTATATTTTGACATGTAGTGTTTCTTTTACCATGATGATTGATTTTACTATATATGCCTTTTCAACTGGTGCATATCTTTAAGCAATTATTTTTCGGTTTTGTTGTATATTTTCAATGTCCTTTGTGTTTTTTTTTTTTTTCCAGCTTTCCAGTTGATGGCCTTAAATTAAAATTTCATCTTACTCTGACTATTTCTATGGTTTTGTTCTCACCACTTATGTGTGCAGTTATATTGGCATAACTCTTACCGAAGTATTATTTTTATTTTATCAAGTCTCTTATTTTAGTGCTCCCCTTTTCTTTTCTTTTTCCAGTAATAATCTGCGTCCAGTATTAGACTCAATTCTTGTATATCTTACAATCTTTACATGCTCTTCTATTGCCTTTTTTCAATAAGATATAATCATTTTGTGATTTACGAAATGTCGCTCTGTAAGAAACTCCTAGATAGTGTCTATTTATAATTTATACATTTAAGGGCTGATATGATCTTGGATCCATATGTACAAACAATTTCGATAGGTCGACTAACTACATTAGTTCTTACCTGTCCCATATAACGTGCAAAAATGCTCCATAAGTCAATGGCTTTTGGCTTGCAATATCCAATGCTTGTACGTTTTAAATTTCTTATGCACATTGACATGGTGTAATAAAGTTTGTGGGTGTGTTTGGTATGGATTTAAGTTGGTTGTTGTAGGGTTATTGGCGAAGTGACAAAATTCAAATTAACTGTTTTTATAGACCACCATAATGTTTGGATGACTGATTGTGTAGTCTTATTAAAATGGAAATGAGCGTATTATATTGAGTTCTTTATTAAGTTTGCATTTTAATGATGACATTTGATAGTTGACTTTGTTCCGTTTCCTACCTTATGGAACTGTTTTTGATTCTGGTATAATTCATTTTAGCTAACACCGTAATGTTTGGATGACTAATTTTGTAGTCTTATCGAAATGTAAATGGGTGATATTGAGCTTATTTCACTATTAAGTTTGTATTATTGATGACACTTGATATTCGACGTTATTTCCTTCCCCACCTTGTTGAACTGTGACTGATGCTGATATGTTTCCTAGGGTATGTATATTCTGACCAATGTGGCATCTGGTAACGAGCTGCACAAAGAAGCGGTCATGAATCAACTTTTCCCCGAACAACTGGGAAGCACTCAATCTATTGTGTTCAAGTCCTTGCAGAGTAGTGACAGCCGATTACGCACTGTGGCTGCTTGGGCTCTGGTTAATCTCACGCTACCTAGCAGCTCGGGTGCATTAAAGCGGGTTACAAGACTTAGGATGGCTGGCATAGATTCCTACTTGAAGAATGTTATCAATGATCCTTGCTTAGATGTGAAGGTATTTTCTGACTGTCTGGGTATTTGCTTTGTTGTAATTGGTGCTTTATATATTTGCCTGACTAATGTCCATATTTGCTATCAGCTTCGTGCTAGGACGGCACTTACTCAAATGATGGCTTTTGGTGATGGCTCTTCATGATATTTAACATTCTAGAAATGAAAACGAGGATTCGGAACTAAGGTGGTGCTTGGGCTTCACTTGTGTAACATGTTATCTTAGTCAAGGTGTCTACAGACTGTTAATATGGATGTTCTAGTTGGAAAGCACTGACAGCAGCTGCCGAAGTTGTCAGGGATGAAGTGCTCATTTTGATTACGTGAGTGAGAGCAGTAACCATCTTTACTCTTTCATGAAGATGCATTTCTCTGTTTTAAAAGAGAAAAACACCACGAATCTTTGTAAAAGCTTTCTGAATATAAAACAAATTCTCTTTCTCTTAGTCCTATGAGTTGTCTTTGAAAAACTGCCCTATGTTAAACCTTCAATTTGCAGGTCCAATGCATGGATATTGGTTTTTCCTGCTGAGGAGCATCGTGGGAGCTTGCTTGACTTGCAATTATTGGAAGCGGGTCATCAATCAAATTTTGTTACGAGTGTATGATGAGTTAGAGGATTTTTGCTTTCTTTTATGCCCCCTAGTGCTGTCCCAATTGTGGAGCCCCTGAGTTCAATAGACCTCCCCCCACTATGGTATCTTCCATCCTGGAATGCCAGAATTCTTTGTCAAAACAACACCATCGAAGCAGAATTGCTTTCGCTTTGTTGTAAGAGTTGGACGTGCCGGATTTCCTGGCTGCTGAGACTATCCGAGGAGAAGTACTTTTTTCTTGCTCCTCTTTCTCACCGCTCTACAAGAGAGTTGAAATGGCTGTAAACATTGTACTGTACATTGCTTTCCCTTTGTTGTATGCTGGATTTTTTGACTGCTGAGATTGTAGGAGGAAAAGTACATTAACTTGCTCCTCTTTTTACTAGATGGGTATGTGGAGTTGAAATGGTTTGTAAGCATCGTAATGTGTTTCTAACGGAACTGCAAATTGCAGGACTAGAAAACATTGTAGTGTGTTTTAACTGAACTGCAAATTGCAGAATCAAAGGTCATACATGTTAATAGGAATTGAAGTTGAGATTCTGTTAATATTGCACCTTTTCTAGATCAATGTTTTTTTTCCCTCCTTTTTGTTTGGGTTCAAATGGATGATGAATTGAGAGATACTTCAAGTTAATTTATACTATAAATAATTTTTTTCTAGTATTTTCCATTGTTCACAAGTGTGATTAGTGTAATGATATGCTTGTACGCATATTTGCGGAAATTTGGGATTTGGCTTAGTATCGGAAAGCATACATAATTTTAAAAACTTATCACCGGTTTTCTGAAATCCCCTCGGCGGGTGTATACACTATGCATTGCATTATAACTAATTTTATTTGGCACTTCGGTTCAACAATCAGAACTCAAATTTTCGGACGTATTCTTCCAACTACAGAGATGGAAATGGGGAATCCTTCTGCATAAACTATAATGTTTCTCAACAAGCACTGTCTAATGGATTTCACAAGCCGCTTCATAAAATTCTCCCGAAAGAACAAGAAAGAAATAAGAAAAAAAAAGATGAGACTATAAAATGCTTGTGAATTCGTATATACAATATAAAAATAATTAAGTAAAATCTAATAACAACTTTGAAACCCTAAGTGGTGAATTACTACAAAGGGATTTTCCCTATGTGCTCAAGGATTGGACCAATAAGAAAGAAGACCAAAGAGGCAGAAAAACTCTTCAATTCAGCCAATCTTCTCTGTGTTTGTATCATCAGACGGCCAGATTACTGTTTCCATGAGCCTTTCACGCATCAACTCCAGATTCTGATCAGAGATTTCTTGATATATTGCGGCATGATCACATTTCTAAGACAGAAGAACAATGCAGCACATGTAAAACTGCTACATTCTGCAATATCAAACTGCATGGATTTTTGTGTTCAATGAAAAGATCTTACTTCAGATTCCTACCGTACCTTAGTCCATATTTTATAGAGGTGAAGGCGCGTTATCATCACTCTTTCTGCAAGTTCTCGCTCCTCCTGTTGAGAGCATGATAAATATTGATTGATCCTTGTGAATCTAATGGAATGTATATGAATTGAAAATGTTTTTGGAGTACCTTTTGAAGGCCGCGGAGGAATTTCTTCCCTTCATTTGGCTTATGATTGACAACGTAGCTGTAAAAGAGTTGGATTTAAACTCATCAAAGTTCCATTTATAACAAGTGGAGAAGATTATGTTAGAGGTGGCTAGAGAATGAAGGAACATGAATTAGCAATAATACTGCAATATGCAAATGGGAAATCTGTTTTGTGAGGAAAACATATGATTGAAATTTGAAGCTATAAGCAAGTTAGATCGTCTCAACTCTGAATCAAGAAGTAATATATCATAAAGAAATGGTCTTCAGGACAATCCAAAAAGAATTTTGACTTACTTATAAAACCACCTATACCGTGGAGGGTTCATCTCATAGAGCTGATGCAATACAGTCCTCACAGCTTTGTATGTGAAATAATTAAGAATTTGCTGCAAGAAGAATGAGATAGCCAATTTGAGTTATCCATTTTGGTAAAGAGCAGAAGTTGAGACGGACTATTGTTCAAAACAGATTAGCAGTCTACAAATACAACACTAATCGTTGAGGGACTTTCAACATGCAAAATTGACATGAAATTCTTGAAAGAAGAAATATCAGTTTTAGGGGAAAAATTCCAGAGAAGAGGGATGGCCTATAACAAACCAACATAATTTAGAAGGAATATACTTACGGGCAAGCCACCTGAACACTATTATTCTTTTAATAAACTTCAACCCTCTCATTTCGAGCTAATGTACTACCATATGATGATATGCTCAAAGAATGTGGCCAAGTAGATGACTTTCTAGTTTGTCTGAAAATGTTGCCTTATGGCTGAGAGCAAAAGTTGCTTCTCCTAGCACCCTTTCTTTAGTATCGACCTAATCGGGCGTTTCTGACACTTCAGGATGCTGTTCATTGGTCCACACAGTCTCCCAAGTTTCTTATCTTCATGCAAACATCACTGCATTTTGCTACATGCAACAATTGGGATTCCATATAAATGGCTACCAGCTGAGATATATGAAAATTCACCAACATTTATCATATTCGTCTATGCACAACTACGTAACTTGTTATTCTCAACTTATTATAGCAAAAACGAAAAAATCAGCCAGGGTACGAATTCGATTTAATAGATCTACATTCCTCCAAATACACCTGGAATTTCCTCAATAACAAATAACAACTATGCATCCCCTCCTTAACCAAGAAGAAACAGATCAAGAATTTGATGAAGCAAAAATCAAATTAATCAAAATCAACGATTGATGGAATTTTTATCACAGCAAAGATTACAACAACAACAACCGAAGACTAATAAGCGGGTAAAGTGTTCTTACAGTTTTAACATCCGCAAAGCCTTCTTCATACTGTCCAGCAATTTCACTCACAATCGTGAAACCCCTGTTCTTCTTCTTCCTCTGCACTCTCAAACTTTTACCACCAGAAGAAGAAAGACCTTTCACAGAATCAAGAAATGAACTGCTCAATTCCAATGACCCTCCAGCAGTTTTCCTAGTGACCAAACTCCGGCTCACATTAAGATCCCCACTACCCAAATTGCATGAAGGAACAACATCCAAACACAAGCATGGACAAGCATGCAAATCAGTCATGGAGGAAGCAGCAACAGAAAATGAGCCAACCATCCTAACCCCAAAAAACAAAACAACACAAACCTTCACCAATACAAAAGGATCAAAATTAAAACAGAAATCTTTATGCAGTTTGCAACCAGAAATCAAGGAATTGAGGAAGACCCTTTTCAGAGGAAGGTAAAGGGTCCAAGAATGTTGGAGGATTTAATGATGATTCAAGTCAAAGATTCATGTACTTGGATGAAAAGGGTGGGCAAATTCACAGCTTTTTTTTTTCTTCCAAGTGAAACAAGTAAAATATTGCGGGCAAGAAAAGATTTGTAAGCTAACACATGGGGAGGGAAGAAAATTAGGCAGATGTTTTTTCTTGTTTGGGGGGTGTTGATGATGTGTAACGCTGACCAGAATAATATTTGAGGTCCAAAATCCTCCAACCAGAAATTGTCTTTTGAAAAATCTCCATAGTTCTCTTATTTCTTAACAAATTGCTTGATGTCGTGTCGTATAATTTTGTACTTCAAAATTGAAAAAAATGCTCAATTTATTTTCCAAAATTTGGCTCTTCAGCCAATTGTATGGACGGTGATGAGTTTTAGAAACAAAGAAATACGAAGCGATACAACAAAAATGAGAGGAGAAGAAGAAGAAGACTAGTTCGTTTTTTCATTTGTCTTTTTCTTATTTTCAACTGGCGGTACCTGTTTTAAGAAATTACAGAGAAATTCACTGTCGCATTATTTGGTGCCTTTTCCATTTTTAGATGAATGAAATTTCCTCATAAGTTTCTAAACTACAATTTCAATAGTACTCCCTCCGTCCCATAATTATTGTCCATTTTGCCCAAAAAATTTTGTCCTAAAATTATTGTCCAATTTGACTTTTTATGAATCAAGTTACACATTTGTCCTTAGTAAAAAACATTATCCATAAAATCTTAGTGGTTAAACAATTACTTATGTAGGGATATATCTGGTTGTTTAAGATAAAATATAGTTAAGTTTGACCAAGAATAAAATATTTCATTTTAGTAAAACTGGACAATAATTATGGGACAGAGGGAATAGTTATTTAGTTCAAAATGATTGTCCACTTTAAACTTTCATTTTCAGTGGTAAATTTTGGTATAAAACTCTCTAATAACATATTGGAAAAAGAAGTAAAAATCTAAACTGGACAATAACTTTAGGGTTAAAGCTTTTTTTTTTCATGATAAATTTATCACTAGATTATGCTCTTTCTATGTCAAAACGCGACAATAATTTTGAGATAAAAAATAGATTTTAAATATGTTATTAAATTCAAGTTCTAAATTTGATTCGTTAAATTAACTCATTGAGAGTTTAAATATTCCATTTTGTAATGGTTCTACTCTAAAGCAAAATATATACTCTTATACCTAAAATGATTATCAAATTTAAATTTTTATTTTTAGTATAATTTTTACTGAAAGTTAAATATCAAATTAGATAATCATCGTTTCGAAAAGGAGAGATTTTTATTTTTAACTTTCTTAATTGGAAGGTACCGGACACGTGCCACAAGGAGACTAATGAGACACATAACAGAATGAAATTAATCCCGCAGATTGTAAACAAAACATGTGAGCTTATGAAAGGTTGGTCAAAATCCACCTACGTAACCATGTAAAACAAAACGGGAAATAGAAAAAGAGAATAAAAGAAAAAGAGAGTTCGACAGGCCCTAATCGGTCGATTCACCTTAACTGGAGGCGCGATTTTGCTCGTTCTTCGGCATTATTTTATTGAACTAATTTCAATCAGTCATCAACTTTGTCTTGCCAAAGATTTTTCATTCCCTTGCATTTAGTTACGGTAGATTTGTGATCAAAAAAAAAAATAAAAAATACAGTGTAATTAAGGAGCCAACCAAAGTATAAGTTTTAACATTGTGGCATTAAGTACTACACACATCAATAGTTAACGCGACTTAATTTAAATACTATTTACCCGCTAATAACTTGGCACAAGAACTCTAATTTACTTTTGGTAATGGTAAATATACAAACTACATGTGATTCACATTTTTCAGTTCAAATTAGAGAACTGTTTGGCATTTCCTGGTATCATCATCTGGTGCCGTCATATTATATTGTAATTCAAAACTTGGTGGGTAAAGCGAAGGATTTGTCGGGTTTTATTCTTCGTTACATAAATGTTTGTTTTTGGCGATAATATGTAAGACGGTGTTTACTGTCAGTAATAATTAATTCGCTTACTGAGCACTTCGATGAGTAAAATGGTTGGTCAAAGAATTCAATTCAAGCTCTAAGGTTATATATACATGTTGAATTAATCATCATTTCAATATTTATTTTTGCACAGATTTTGAGCCTTCAAACACCAAACTTAAGCGCGAATGTGACTCGATTTCCGACTTTATAGATCATCCCCTGCTAGATGTTTTCTAACAAAGTAATGAAAAATCCATCTATTTTGGCCCAAAAAAGTTTTAAAAATGAATTTTCAGTAGTATCTACCTTAAACCTCAATTACTGTGTGTAATGAACTGTAATTGATAAAGATTAAGCAGATTCACTAAATGGATTTTGGGCTTTGCAAAGCCCAACCCAACACGTATTCCTACATTATGGGCCTCCATTTTGAAAAGCACTCGATCGTCATTCGTCAATAATAAAACAAACACTTCAAATTTTGTTAACGTTGAAAGATTCTCCCTCAATTTCTTCTACTCTTTTCTCACTCCTCAACCGAAGAAATTGTTTCTCTGGCGCTGCAGAAATTTACTCCATAGATGTTCTTCAGTGGGTAAGCTTTTATCCTACTTCTCTAATAATTTTTTCGATGATTCTACGTGATTAATCATATTCTTCAGATGCCCATGTTACCAATTTCATTTTTTCCCCAATTTTCTTACCGATGTGGGGTTTTGGATTTTTAATTTTCCTGTGGGTTTAAGGAAGTGTTAATTTCAATCTTTTGTAAGTAAATTTCAATTTTTTGCTGATTTGGTTTTGTGGGATGGACTGAAAATTGAAATTAAGGTGGAGATGTGAGCTGAAATTGTTTGATTTTTTGAAATTCTGTATTCTTACACTTTTTGTTCCATTCCTGTCGTTTTCCTTCTCTTTTCATAGTTGATAGCTGCTGTAAGCTCCAGAAGCATTTGAATTGTACTCCAAGGAATTGAGAGATTTAGTCATGAAGTTCAAGAAGCCGCTCAAGGAGCTCAAGCTCTCTGTTCCTTCTCAAGAAACCTCCGTGTCCAACTTTTTGTATGCTTCTGTTTTTCCCATGTTTAAATTTGATCTAATTTTGAGAGTTTGCAATTATGTTTGGCCTTGTTCTACTTATTGCGGACCTTTTTTTTTGTGAGTATTCTAGTCCCTTTTTTTAAGCAGTGAGTGAGTTTGTGTTCTGTTGATTAATGGTAGGACTGCAAGCGGAACATTTCACGATGGCGATTTACTCTTGAACATGAAAGGATTGCGTCTTATCTCTGAAGAGAATGATCCTCCTGTAAGTTTCTCTTTGCTCCCTTTAGTTTTGGCAATGAACTTGGTGTTTCACTTTAATATAAATTTCACTGGAAAGGCTATCCTCATGGGCACCAAAAAAGATCAGTATTGGACCATTATTATGTTGATAAGAACAATGGTTGCATGCACGGTGTTATGGCTTTGAACTCTAAAGCATTCAAAATTCTTGTTGTATTTGGAAGTGGAGAGTTGAAGAAATATTTTCCACTTAATTTAACTGGGATCTGAATCTCTTCATCCTTGCAGTGCAATCATTGTTTTACTAAGTATTTCTCATTTTTCTTAAACCCAAAGAGTTCTTTACTTGCAAATGAATCCATGAAATAATCATATTTGTGAATCTACGAATTTGTGTTCTGCGGACTCTGAAACCTCTGTCCTTCCTTTGGATGTTGTGACCATTTTTGCTAAGGAAGCCAAAAAGAAAATAGGTCAGAGTTCTTCTCAAGTATTTTAAAGAATCTAGACTTTCAATTCTGTTCTTGATGAGGTGTGAATGAAGGGCTTTACATGCAAGCATGTGAAAAATGACTGTTGTTGTTTAGGATCTTGTAAACTCATGCTATGCTGAAAGTGGTCATTGCTATTCTCGTTTATGGGCTTTATAGGTCTGAAGTAAGTCCCCAAATCTCTCCTTACGGTTTGGAAAGTTATTTCTTGATTGTTCTGTTCCAAAAAAACTGTTGATTGGAAGTTACTGAAAATCAAGTGAAACAAGAACGATAAAAGCAGTAGAATCATTACAAGTCATACTTACCAATAACAAACTCGCTTTTCAAATGTTTCGCTTTGTGTTGAAAAGCTACTGTGTAGTGTTTGGTGTTGTAAGGTTGTGTAGTACAATGCTGCCCTTGGCGATAAATTCTTTTTCTTTGCCTTTTTCTCCCCTCTTTCTGGAATTGAAAAGTAAACTTATGTGTTTGATTGGTTTTTGTTTTGACAGCCCTCAGAGTCAAAGGAAATGGATCTTCAGATTTCATTGGAAGATCTGGAGACTATTAAGGTTATTGGAAAAGGAAGTGGTGGTGTGGTTCAACTTGTTCGCCACAAATGGGTTAGGAAAATGTTTGCATTGAAGGTCGGTATCAAAGCTTAAACTTAAGCACCCTTTTTCTTATGCATAATGGTATTTCTTTTCACATCTTTGTTATGTTGATCAGTAATTACCTCCTAAAGGAAGTCCCCCACCAGCTCTTAAATTTTATTAAAATGGAAGTACTAGATCTTTCTGAAATTAGATACGTAAATCATTGAAACTCTACTCTTACAAAGTGCTTTTATGACTAATCTATGGAGCTAATAAGAAGATTTGCTATAGATGTTATCATCGTAGGTGTAGCCGGTATGTGTTATTGAATTGTAAGCTCGTCATCTCCTTGAGGTGTAAAATAATAAATTATTGGTCACATGCTTTTCATTGCAGCCATTTGATACATTATTTCCCTCTACCCAGCTGCTTTTAGTGTTTTCTGACTTAGAGTGTCTGTCTGAGGACAGGTAATCCAGATGAATATACAAGAAGACATCCGTAAGCAAATCGTGCAAGAGCTGAAAATTAATCAAGCATCGCAATGCTCTCAAGTTGTCGTCTGTTACCATTCCTTTTATCATAATGGTGCCATATCTTTGGTGCTTGAGTACATGGACCGAGGTTCGTTGGCTGATGTGCTCAGACAAGTAAAGACATTGCTTGAACCTTATCTAGCAGTCTTGTGCAAGCAGGTTGGGACTTGAAGTACATGAGTCTTCTGTGCTAGTTTTTACCCCGAATGATTGATTATGCAAGATGGATTTCTGAAGTTTTAACACATTCAGGTCTTACAAGGTCTTGTCTACTTGCACCATGACAGACATGTAATTCATAGAGACATAAAGCCATCGAACCTGCTTGTTAACCAAAAAGGAGAGGTTAAAATTACAGATTTCGGCGTGAGCGCAATGCTGGCCAGCTCCACGGGTCAAAGAGATACATTCGTGGGAACATATAATTACATGGCGGTGCGTGAATGATAATCAATTATAAATTCCTATAAGGAATCATTCTCGATGATTCCTTTATCTAAATATCTGTCTCTGCAATCTGCATCTTTAGATTAAAAATCTGAAAGTAATAACTCGGTTCTGGTTTCTTAAATTTTCATGCAGCCTGAAAGAATCAGTGGCGGTTCCTACGATTACAAAAGTGATATCTGGAGTCTGGGCATGGTAATCCTTGAATGTGCTATAGGGCGTTTCCCTTACATACAGTCTGAAGACCAGCAGCGTTGGCCAAGCTTTTATGAACTCTTGGAGGGAATTGTGGCAGGGCCTCCACCTTCTGCTCCCCCAGATCAATTCTCACCTGAGTTCTGTTCATTTATCTCCGCATGGTAAGAACTACTAACTTGCCTTTAGGTTCGTTTTAACAAATGAAACATTATTGAGCACCTTACGATCTTTTGCTATCTGCATTCGCTTTGTCCTTTTTTGTTAATCAAGTGTGTATCATTAAACATCTTCTGCTTCAAGATTAGACGATCAGCATCCTTTTTCACATGTTTATATGAAATGCAATCCATATATCCGTGTATGGTTTACTGCAATCATTCTATGCTTATCTCTGCATTTTCTGCATGTGCAGCATACAAAAGGATCCAAGTGTTAGAGCCTCATCTCTGGAGCTTCTGGTGAGTAGCCGTACTGGTTTCGGGTTTTGCTTTTAGTCTTTCATGTCGAAATGCAGAATTCCTCACTGATTACCTTGGTTTCGATGTCATTAGAGTCATCCATTTATTCGGAAGTTTGAAGACAAGGACATCGATCTTGGCATTCTGGTAGCCGGCTTGGAATGTCCTCAAAATTTTCAAAAGTAACTGTTCTGTTAGTTACGACCTGTAAAATTTGTAACGAGTTTTCCTTATACACAGTATAGTCTATATGGTGTGTGATCCGTATGGATCTGATGCGACTGCCAGTTTAATGTATGAAGATGTTGACCAAATTTTATAGCAATATAGTATTTCAAATCATTATATTAAGTGCACCTTTCTTTACCTCATTCATCAGCCCCCTTTGAACAATGAAAATGAATAAATTAAACCATAACTCCATCCGCGTCAAAATTTGCGAAATTATATTTATGTTCATCCGGGAATAATTGTCTTTTCTTTTTTTTTTTAAATTGTATATAGAGAGAATATTAAGAAAGTTATCATGGTTGTCCACTAATTTTTATACATCCAAATTGTATACCAAATTAGTAAAAACTACTCCCCCAGTCTTAAAAGAATGATCAACCTCTGAGTTTTAAGATCTGTATTATTTTTAGTACAAATTTCAAAAACTTAAATAATGCAAACACTAAAACTCAAATATATATTATTTTTTAGGACAAAATTAATATATTATTCATAATTTTAATAAAGCTACTACTATCTTCGCTCCCTCTTTACCTTCTTTTCTCCTTTTAAATTTTACCAATTTTCGTTCACAAGCTTATCACTCATATTTAATACCCCTCCTTTCTATATTAATAATTTCTTTTGTTAGATTTGTATCACAGAGTGAACCAATTGAGTGATACGGCAGTAAAAGAGTAATAATCAGTTTAAAACAAAAAATAAAATAAAATAAAAATAACGGTATAAAATCATTAACTAACTAAAAGTGGTCCTTAATTATCTCTGTACAAGTAGTAAAAGAATCCTCTACTTTCTGGAAAATAAAAACAAAACTTCCTTGAAAACCCTTTTTCTAATTAATAAGGATTAAACACAATATTTTTGCTTGTGCTTTTTGAAAGTTTTTGTTATAGAGGAAGGACCACACACATACATGCATATTCTAGCTAAAGAAAAGAACAAAAAGAGAAGGAAAAACAAAAAAAAAAAAAAAACCTTCGGTTAGGACTCTCCAAATGACAAAAGGGCAAATATAAAAGGCCAATATACCCTGATTCTAATGTCACTGAAAATTACATCAATTATTTATTTATTTATTTTAAAAAAATCTTTTTCCTAATGGATACACAATCATGAAGATTCATCGTTGAATTTGAATGAGACAATTGATTAAAAGTGAACAAGATTAGTGATGTAGATTGCTTAAGAAGAGAATCGGTATTAGGTGCCTTCAAACAGCAACAAAGTAGGGGACCGATCTCAAAGCCTGCAACAAGAAAAATGCTTCTCATATTTGATTGTTTTTGTTGAGGTAATATTTGGGGATGAAATTGGGAATTTTTGTATATTATTATTATATGTGTGTCCGCAGAATTTTCTTTTGTTAATCCGATTTATTGTAATAAATTTGGATTTCTGTTTCTTGAGAATATAACATGTTTCGGTAAAATACCTTTGTTAAAATAATAAGTATAAAATAAAACTAGTTACAAAAGGAAAATACAATAATAATAATTTCTTCGATTTTTTTTTCACTTTTTATTTTATTTTATTGCGTTTTCGGTCTGAAGGAATTGAACCTGCTATATAAAGAATTAAAATTTTTTTTTCTTCTAATGATTCAATATTGGTTTTCTCACTTATTTTCAATTTTTCACGCTTGTGGATGACCTATTATTACATAGGTGAAAGACATACTTTAGTACTAACTTACACCTCATCGTCACATGCTTGCAGTAATAATAATCTAAGAGTGAACCTTAAAACAAGTCATCAACCGTTTAATATATTTCCACTCTAGGTCATTAATTAACTTTATTGTAACACAGGTTACCTTACTAAAGTTTTAATCCATTTCAGATTATTCTGTTAATTTTGGCCATTAAATAGTGATGGAAATTCATTTTTCACATGCTTTTGGGTTCAGAGGTATTTTTGTCATTTTACTATTATTTTTTTAATTTTTTGATCTTTTAATATTTTTTTTTTACAACTCTTCTTCTTATAACTCCTAACTTGTATACACTGGTAGTATAATTCTAAATTTTAAAAATTTATTTTCCTTTTGTATTTTAACTTCTAGATTATAAAATTTTTTTAAAAAAAATTTAAGAAATGAAGAAGAAAAATTCGAGTTAAAGTAAACATGAAAATTAATAATTTACTATTTTAAAAAAAAAAAAACTAAAAGAATTAGCTAAGACAAGTTGTTTCTTCTAGGTTATTTAATTTTTTTTCAACTCGATTGAATTATTTAATTATTAATTTTCACGTTTCTTATTCTTTTTTTTTATAATCTAGAAGTTAAGATACAAATGACAAAAAAATTCATTTTTGAAAATTAATTTGTCATTTGTATATTAACTTGTAGATTATTAAAAAAAAGGAATAAAAAACGTAAAAATTAATAATTAAATAATTCAATCGAGTTGAAAAAAATTAAATAACCTAGAAGAAAAAACTTGTCTTAGCTAATTATTTTAATTTTTATTTTTGTTTAAAATGGTAAATTATTAATTTGCATGTTTACTTTAACTCGAATTTTTTTCTTCATTTCTTAAATTTTTTTTAAAAAATTTTATAATATAGAAGTTAAAAGACAAAAAGAAAATAAATTTTTAAAATTTAGAATTATACTACTAGTATATACAAGTTAAGAATTATAAGAAGAAGAATTGTAAAAAAAAATAAAAATTAAAAGATTAAAAATAAAAAAATAAAAAAATGACAAAAATACCCCTGAACCCAAAAAACATGTGAAAAATAAATTTCCGTCACTATTTAACGGCCAAAATTAACAAAATAATCTGAAATGGATTAAAACTTTAGTAAGGTAACATGTGTTACAAATAAATTTAATTAATGACCTAGAGCGGAAATATATTAAAGGTTGATGACTTGTTTTGAGGTTCACTCATAATCTAAAATCTATCTCATAAAGGGGCTTTAATTTTTCACAAAACTTGAGGTTGTTCTTGGACATGTTTTTTCCTCTGGAAGTATGGTATGATATTCAAAAGATTATAACGGCAGAATAAAATCGTAAATCATGACACAATAAATGTTTCGTTACATGTTCTTTGTTATACTTTACTAATTATTGCACTTATTCATATTAGATGAGTTCACTGAAATATTCATATTCTTCTTTATTAGTCCTATTATTTTTTAATGAAAAAGGATTAGGGCAATTTGAAACGTCTGTTAGTCATTTTCATGCAAGCGTCAGCCTAGAATTTGTCTTTGTCAAAAATATTTAGTTATAGTCATCCAGTACAATACTAATAAGAATTAATAAAAACTAAAAAGTACAACTAAATCAGACCATTTTGATATCGAAAATGGTACCACAAAATCCCCAATTGCTGATCGCATCATGATCATCTTACATCATGTAAATGGCAGATGTTGAACAACCACAGAATTCAAATTATTACTGATGTTAATTTAACTGAGAAATTCTTATAATGAAATCCATCAGTCGTCGTTAAATATTTTTTGGTGTTACACAGATAAATATTTTTTTTTTGTTGGTGTTACACAGATAAATTAATAACAACATGACAAGCAAAGGTCAAGCAAAGGACTGACAAGCCGTCGTTACACTAGTCAAATATTAATTACCTACTTAATAAAATTACTAGTAGTAAAGCAGAAAGTAGGGTCGATCCCACAGAGAAGGTTACCAAGTACCGGTTAAAATTATTTTTTATTATTATTTAGATTAAAACTAATCTAAACCTAAACATAACAATTGCAATTATTTAAAGATATAAATAAGTAAAAGAAAAATCTAGGGTAAAGGGTTCACCAACCGACTATTCAGTTTAATTTAATCTAAAGATATGTGACTTTCGACTCTCAATAATCTCACAACAATTCACCAATTTAAGAATTATACACTCTCGTGTCATAACCCTCTTACTTAAACTAACCCTATGACTACTCTCGTGACTATAGGGATTAATAAAAGCACATTACGAACTTTGGAATTACTAGTCGCAAAGGCCTTCCTACTCTCGTGGCTCACTACCTAAGTTTATTATTCCTACAAACTAACACTAGCCTTCCACTCTCGCTACTTCAGCTAGCACCTTAAATCATGCAAATATTGATCAGGTATTCACATGGATGAAAAAGAAGAATAATGAATATTAATTAATGAAAAAGTCACAATCATAACTTAAATTAAATTAAATAGTACGGCGGCTACATCCAAAACCCTAGATTAAATAATTTAGCTACACATCGTCTCAAAAATAAATAAAACAACGAAATCCGGGAACAAGATAGCCAATAGTTAAGATTGAAGTTGATGAATAGCTGCTTGTTTCGTCCTCCGATGATGTGCGTTGGCGATGAGGAGATTTGGTGCGTGGAGGTGTTAATTTTGGGCTAATGGCGTGGTGATGGGATGAGATGGTGATGGAGGCGTGGTGATGGGGCTGCGTGAAAAGGGCAAAGGAGGTGATGAGGCGTAGATGGTGATGGGGTAGATGGAGGTCGGCGAAGTGATGGTGATGGGTGGTGTGCTGCGTGGGAATGGAGGGTGAAAGGAAGCAAGGAGGAGAAAGGGTGGTGCGGTGGAAGTTTGGCAAGGAAGCAAGGTGGTGGAGATGGTCAAGTTCTCTCAAAAAAATAAAACCCTACTTCTCCTTTTATAAGCTTTCATCAAATCATATTTCTTCAAAAATAAGAAAGTTATTTTTTTTTCAACCCAATTTAAATTAAAACTCCTCCAACTCTTCAAGTGCTTCAATTTCTTCCTTGTCAATTTAACAAATCTTCAGTTCTCCCTTTGAGTTGCTTTTATCTTCATTTTAGCCCAAAATTTCAACAATTCCTCCATTTGAGTACAATTCCTACAATTAAAGATAAAATCACATAAATAGCATATTTATACTCCAAATATATTGCAAAAATCACAAATTAGAGATATAATAAATAGGTAAAATATAAGCATATCAAATACCCCCAAACTTGAATTATTGCTTGTCCTCAAGCATTCTCAAGAATTAAAACAAACAAAAACATTAAATTATTTAATTAGGCGGCCTCAGAGATTCAATCATCATATAACACACAGATCTGGACTATCTCTAATATGGACTACCTAACAATGCAAACTATAGCTACGTTTAGCCCCACGCTTGTGTGTGTGTGTGTGATCTATTTCTCAGGGACATCACTTTACATTTAA